TGTCAACATTGGCTACCAGAAATCGCTTACCCCACCTTTAAGAATCAACCCAAACTGTTCTCTGATAGTAATGTAGTATCTTTTTTACTACAGAAGCCTTTCTTAGTGCATCTCTCCTGCTATTTGAAACAATTATTGCATGCTGTGTCCTATTTTATCACACAACTAGGATTGGTCTTAAATGTTTTGTTTAAAAATTCAGCTTTGGTCACTTGAATGCTTAGTATCACTGCGCATTGAAAACACAAGGAAAGCACAGACACACAGACAGCTGAACTCACCTGTGTTTTGATGAAGTTCTCAGTGTGTTCTTGCCATAATGATCTTTTATCTGAGTTACTCTGGATGACGCTGAACTTATCAAGATGTTCTTGCAGTGATTTCCCTGTCTTGACATTATCATCAACACTGGAACCAAGAAAATATGGCAAAAGTAGAATTTGTCTGAAAGCAATTTAAATGTCTAAATCTAGTCATCCAGGTCTTTTTTTAAGGGCTTTCTGCATTAGTCTTATTCAGCCCATTATCTCAAACAGATTCTGAATTTTGTCAAAATCTAGTTCACAATTACAGTATTGATGGAGCAGGAGAATCCGCAAAGTAGATCTACTTAGATCCAAAGAAAATGAGTAAAAATATCTGCTCTAAAAGAAGCACAACTGAAAAGAATGATCAGAAAGAAGAGGAACGATCAGATGATATTTTTCAACAAGACAATGCTCCTGTCCACACTGCAGTGCAAAGACAACCAAGTAGCTTGAAAACAAGTCCATCAGGCTCATATTTGGGCCTGGTCAGAGTTCAGATTTGAACCCTAGAGAGTATTTGGTGTCATATTAAACTCAAACTAACTCAAACTGAGATATTTTTCAGCTACTCATGAACTTTTTGAAGCCATCAACATTGAGTAGAACAACACTGACTCTTCTTTGTCTCAAGAGCTGTCTGCAGGTTTACTCACAGGACTTAAACATGTAAAGACAAAGGCTATCCCATACTAATACTAAGTTACTTCAGTTGCTAAAAGCTAAATAAAAAACTTTATATTTTGCCATTTGGGCTTGTCCTTAGTAAATAATTCTATTATATGACTGAACTAAATATCAGCATTGGTAAATCGCTTTGATAACATGTCTGAACTGAGGGGAGTCTGCATATGGGATTAAAGTGTAAAACTTACGGAAATATTAATTCAAACTCCTCATCGAGGTTGTCATACATGTGCTTCCTCAAACACGTGTTTAACTCTAAAGGTGCGTCCCAGGCTTTTGGCCAGTAATGTCCTTTTCTCTCACACATCGCTCGATACATTTTATGAAAACCTCTGTTATCTTTTGGTCGAACCTGAAAGCAAAACACATAAACTGCTGTTAGGAAGCCCAGCAAAATATTGAATATGCAAGTTCTACAACAACTGAAACACACTTACAGATTTGATCATGTCTTGTGTGGTCTTAACACATGAGCTCACTGATTCTTCTACTCCAGCTGAGAGACATTCTTCCAGAGTCTTATAGCACGAGTCAAACTGACATTTCAACTCTTTCAGTGCCCTATGTAGGTTTATCTCCAGATCCCTGCGGACTTTGGCTTTTGTCTTATTTAAACAAAAATATAATAGCAGTGAATTACAGAAAAAAAAAAAGTTCGCATTTAAAACATCAGCAATTCTCACTCGTACCATATTTTCATCTGCATCCAGTTGGACACCTTGGATCAAAGACAAAACCCCTTTTGCTTCATTGACATAATCTCTGGTCAGTTTTCTGTCGATGTTCTTATTAAGATTCTTCAGAACATCCCTCAGTTTTGGAATCTCTGCAGACCATTTTCAAATATATTCAATTAGTTCATTATTAAACCAACTTCCAAGTAATGACAAAATTATATTTTTCCTCAAGACAATACCGGTTTCTGTAGCTTCCAGAACTGGATTTTCTGGATCCAGGAATGCTTCAGAACTTACAGTAAAAACATCAGTGACGAATCTCTCTTTTGAATCCTAAATAACAATATTAATCAGTCAGTCTAATTAATTAATTATTTTCTCAAAGTTATAAACACATATCTAGAAACTAAAACTAATCAAACTTGTACAAACCTTCAACTTTCATGACTCCAAACACAGATTCAAAAACATATTGTTCCATCAAAATTTGAGTGACACACAAAACACCAGATCATTTTTGTAGTTATTTGATTTGTTTTCCAGTAAAAATAAACTGTATACATTTACTTTCCCCTTTAGGCAAATCAAGAATGTTGTTTTCTCTGGAAGCAAGACTTAATATCATTTTGCTTCTCAAGTACATGTATTTTGAAGATGCTTTTACTGGAAAACAAGGTGAGGTTTAGTATTAACATATTCTGGGGTTTAAGTCTGTTTTTGTTTTTGACTGCACTAGTCCCGTTGATTTTCTTAGGTATCAAAAATTCAATTGTATATAATAAAAATCTTCAATAATAATACCCTGCTTCCAGCATTTTTTAATTTTCTTTTCACTGCTTCCTTTGCACGGCTGTTTCTATGATGTATGCATTTTGTTTTCAGATCCTGAAAAACAATCGACACAAGAGATATTGTTAAAGCTAGATGAAGTATCTGGTGATATTTGATTCAGGATAAAACCATTCAAAAGAACATCACTTTCATGTGAGTCATCACATTACTAATGATACAAAACATAAAACATATAATGCACTTTTCAGCCTTTTCTTTGGTGAATAAAAAAAAAGTGATCAAGTTTTAGTAAAAATAGAATGTTCTTGATTAAAATGCATTTTTCAAGTGCAGCCAAATGTTACATCATAAGACAACAGTCAAAAGAAAGTCAAACTTTCAGACATTTATAATAATGTTGAATAGTACAGTATTCAACTGAATAATGCAGAAAAATAGAGCAAACCTTTGGTCCAGTCATTTGTTCATCAAGCTGTTCATTTCTAAAGAAAAACAAAATGAATATGACAGAGCAAAGCAAGTCATTGTTATGAATTATAATTGTCCATTAATTCAATTATTTATTTTTAAACATGTTTACGTTAATGTTGCAAAAGATGTAATTTAATGACAAAAAAGTCTTGTTCTAATGCAAGATATCCTCTTGGATCAATGTGATCGGTCTTGGTGCAGATGAAGTTGATGTGTTTGCATTCTCCTCGTCCTCCCAAGTCTTGAATGCAGTGCTCCAATAATTCCCAGGGGTCTTTGTCTGAGACTGCTCGGTTGATGTCACTTACAATCCACACAGATGAACAGTGCTTTAGTTTCTAAGTGAGAGCAAATACAAAAGCAGAGTAAAATATCAGATGATATACCGGTGGTTTTGTAATATATTTTACGTTTCACACACATTTACGAGTACTTAAAAGAGAAGTGTTTACAGATCTCCAGAGGTCATCTCTGATCTTGTTGCAGTCTCCAGTACCAGGATATCAACCAGGACAATGTGCTCCAGGAGTTCACGACAGTTAGGAATCTTGATTGTTACACTCTTCACAAGCGGCCAGTACCAGCCACCAGGATTTGACTCATCGTTTTTTATGTATTGAGCAACTGCACAGGTAATATCAGACAGCTTTTGGGGGAAAAAGGATTTTAAAAAATCTGATTTTAAAAAGCTGACTTTCAGCAACATTCACAATACATCTGCAATTTACAATTAGATCATTCTGATCTAATTTACCTATAACAAAAACACCATGTAACTTACATTCTGGTTCGAGATTGTCATCTTCCCAGTAGACAAAACATTGTTAATTTCAATATATTTGTCCTCTTTCTTCAGCTCTTTCAAAGTTTTCTTCCCTGCATCAGCTCCATACAGTGCAATGATCTTTTCATCAATACTTTCTGTTATAAGGTTGTCCTTATCCTTGTTTTTTTCTGATGAAACAATCTCATTTTCCCATTTCTGCAAAATAACACAGCATACCATATAGCACATAACATGTAGATTCTGTAAGGGGT